CACCCTCTTACATACGCGGTTGTTCTGCCACAAATGAATTACAACTATTTTATGTGTGCGGGACCGGCTCTTGTGATGTTGAGGAATCGATCGTTGAACTTATTGCCAAACGTTATGCGATAAAGTGTTTGTGTGATAGAGTGTGTGTATATCAGCATGGTGTTTATAGCTGTTCAAAAGTTGGTGGTGGTTGCGGTGTTTGCTTTCACGAAATGGACTCTCTAACATTTACACATACATGGATTGTCAATAAACAAAGATCCTTAACAATATATCCCACGCGGATATGTCATTTAAGACCCGTACTAAAATACATATTAGACAAAGAGAAATTATGCTATGTATGTAGACACACATCAACATGTGAAAATATTTTGATTTGTTAATATTTTTATTTAATATGAATAATTATTTACAGAAATAACATCCACAAATTACCACCTTGTTGTTTTTTATGTTTTCCATCGTTTTCTACATAATAAAAGCGATATTTTTTTAGTCTATCTTGCTATATAGAGTTAAAAAATGTTTTTTTCAACGTCGCCTCTTCCTACCTCGAGGTGCGGGACGTCGGGTTGCTGGGGGGTAATAGTACCCTTGTGTGTGGTAAGGTTGATAGGGTTGATACGGGCGATAACGCATTCGTTGATTGCGTTCCATATTATTTGATTGCCGTTGATTTACATTTAAATTTATGGGTTGTGATTTTGATTTTGATTTTCGCCCTCCACCAAATAGACTGCTTAGAAAACCACCGTCTTGTTTTTTTTTGCTTTCCACGCTGATATTTACTACCTTTAAAATTCCCACCATTTTGATATCTCGCTCTTCACCATCTTATAATAGCTTTTGTAACTGAATGATTGTTTTTTTAAAATAGCATGTACTTATATGGTTGTTATATTTTTTAAAAAAACCCCTATATATGTGTATTTGTAAAAAAACGAAAGATTTTATTTGAACGAAACAATGCGTCGAAGTCTTTTGTGCCACGGTCAGCGATATTTTATAACATTAAGTTTTTTAAAATTATTAAAATGTACGCCAGATTGTGTAGTTTTTGAGGTTGCTTTTTGGACAGTGGGTCGGTATGTACGTCGTGTGGTGACTAAGGAATTAAATTCTGAACAATTTACTATCAGTTTGACCGGCTGGCATCGACGTGGTGACGAAGATGTGAATTTAAAACGTATGTTGGAGGAGTTTTTTGTACAGTGTAATTATACATTTTTACATTTTAAAAATACTATTGATTATCGTCAGACAGATATCGCTTATTATTTGGTTAAATATTTCGGTATATGGTTCCACGACGACTTGGTTTGGTATGCACTCCATTCAATACCCTATTCAATGTATAACTATAGCCAAAATTTAACAAATTTAAAATATAAAAAACAATACGATTGGGGTTATCAAGACAACGCGTGATGGATACTCGTTTTAGTAGCAGTGTTTTGGTTGATGCCGTATTCACAGATGTATATTATCATTATGATTGCACTAGTTTAGGTGCCGGCGAATATGTGCTTTATACGGGTTATGCTGGCGGTATGTTTCGTCGTAAATTTTCAATATTACCCGAAAGAGTTGTGGACACACAACTTCCCAACGGTGCATATGTACTATATTCAAGATCCAATATGGGGTGTTTAAAAAGACTTTATTGTACAATTCAGGGTGGAATAGCGAAAGGGATGAATGGTAGAGAATTACAACAGTATACGCTTTGGGAGTATCTACGGACGGATATCTATGTTAGCTCTCGACTATATACGGTTATGAACAATCTTACAGCACACGCAAAGGTGTCATTTTATGAAGATATACCACACAGTCGACGAATACATTATGCTCCGGAATAAGCTGTTTTCAGAAAAACAAAAGGAGAAAAAATACATATTATTAAGACATTCGTTTACATTCTTGCATGCGGGTATTTTATACCCTGTTACATACGTATTAAAAGCAGATATTACACGAAGAACGTCTACAAATTATAGTATAATACTTATCTTACGTAGCCACAATGAAAAAGTTGTGGAACGTTACGTTGTCAACGAAGCAATTGTGCTTAGGACAAGCTTTGGCACACAAATGAACATGGTCCTAAGATTTATTCAATATATACCCCAGATGTACGGTTTCTGTTATTTTAAAAACATAAATAATATTAGAATACGGTTTTTAAATCTAAATATGATTATCGACGATAGTGTATTACCACTTATTATATACGCACACCTATATAAATGCCAGTATTAAATATAAATAACAGTTATAACCACAACGATGTGTTGTAATGATGTGAATAAAAATGGTTACTTATACAACAACGTGTTGGTATGGTTTAGTAGATGATAAAAGCGAATTAGTGCGGGAGAAATTTAATGATGAAATCACAATTTATCTGGCTGTATATACCAAACCCATTACAGAGATTTTCCGTAAATATGAAGGGCTTAATAACGAGCTTTGTGATTTAATGGTTGTTTTATTATCCGACGATTCTTTTACCACCGATATTTCAAGTTCTTTTCGTTTGTTAGTTGTGGGATATCTACTTGTGACCTTATATGGGCATATTACATTTTCAAGCTCTGAACATAAATGTTTTTTTCTAGATAAAATAACAAATATCCACCATAATATATGCGAGCATATTCAAAGTGTGATTGCAAAAGAGTTTTTGCTAAATACCGCATTGACTGCTGGGGTCGTTTATGTGATCTATAAAACCCTCTTCTAAGATTTTGAAAAGATCACACACACACACAGCACATGATGGCGCAACCACAACACGAGATAAGTGTCGTTGAGATGTACGAGAAGCGAAATGCTTCACATGTTACAGAATTAGGTGCGTATCAAAATAGAACAAAAAAAATGTTGTGGTACGAATGATGGAATGAAAAATGTTGCATCGCTTCGGCATTGCCCACGCAAGGGGGTGATAAAAATCTATATAAAATGAAATTTAGCATGACTGTCGACGAGCTTCGTACATTGTATGAAAGTCTCAAGACATGCAAAAAAGGTGGTAACCACTACATTATCATTTCCGAATACGAGGATTATCAGAAGAATATGGTACGCATCGTCTTGAAAGATAGCGAGTATAAGGGCTTGGTATTGGTTCGTCTACAAGCAGGTAGACCCGCTGATGTTTTGGTGGGGGATGTTCCAGATGGTGACGAAGACAACCAATTACCCACCGACCAACCTTTGTTCAACGATGAAGAGGAGATAGAGTGGGTTGAGCAGTGGGCAAAATGTTTCTTTTCGAAAAACGAAAGTTGGCCCCACGTATGTAAGAAAATCAACGAGTTTTTAATCGCTGTTCAGCATGAAATGGATGTTGATGATGAATCGATGATGTCACCCACATTACCTGAAATCTCAACATCCGAAACCCCACCAGTAGCAAAGACCGTGAAAAGAAAGGAACCTGTGAGAAATGCACCCGGTAAACAACCGGCGAAAAAAAGATGTGTGATTCTCGAACCGACAGACGATGAGGTAATAAATTTTGACAAATGGTATGATGATATAAAACTATACGGTAGTACACATAATTTTCAAACACGCGTAAGTTGGGTTGTTAAACGGGTGTTGATAAAAATTTTGGAAGATGATGTTTCTTTTGAAGAAGCATTAGAAGTATACAACCCGCAAGGTGAATTTAATATACTATTAGATACCGATATGAAAGCAAATGTAATAGAGACCGTGGGTCGCTTACGTAGAATGCAAGAAGCGGCGGGTATTGCTATGGATAGTTTTACGGATATTTTTCATTAATTTTCCCTTTTTTTTAGTATCGCAAAGCCGTATCACTTATTATAGCCGTGATGCATCGTGAAAAACTTAAATCATCCAAAGAAGCTGTATTACTATATGCACGCGAAATGAATGAGGAATATCCGTATAACTATCTAGATATGGTTAAAAACGAGGCTAATGTAACTATTATAGAGGATATGTATGATGAAATGATTGTTAAAAATTTGTTATATTAATTTTTATTTCAGTAAACAAATATGGGAAAGACAAGACCAATTAAAGATACCGAACTGATTAAGAAAACTTCGCGTTTGTTAAAACACGAACGATTAGATAAAAAACAAAAAGAAGCATATACATTACATAGTAGAAAATTTACAAAATATAAACGTTTACCCCATTAATGTATATAAACGTAATGCACAGTGGAGTATTGATTTAGCTGATTTAAATAACTTATCAAGATTTAATAACCAATATCGCTATTTACTTGTGTGTGTCGACATTTATTCGCGTTATGCCTTCGTACTCGCATTAAAAACGAAAACGGCTAGAAATGTGGCGAATAAATTTGAAGATATACTGGTAAAAGAGAAGGAAATTCCGTTAAAAATTCAAAGTGATGAGGGAACCGAATTTACACTAATAAAAAGGGATTTGTGTAAAAAATATGGTTTTACACTTTTTCACACTTATAATCGGGAAACAAAGGCTGTTCATGCCGAACGATTTATCGAAACGCTTAAACAAAGTATCACACGCTCGCTGACGGGGTTAGATCAAGGTCATCGATATATAGAAAATTTGGAATTGATTGTTGAGCGGTATAACGAATCGCCACACAGGGGTCTACATAATTTAACACCCTTAGATGTGTACAGACGGGGTAAACAACCCGACACATTTCGAAGTCTGAAGGCAATGTTAAATACTAACGCAACACCTGTAAAACTATTAGCACAAGGGCAATGTGTTCGAATCGCGCGAATTAAAAATAATGTTTTTGAAAAATCAAGTTTAAGACGATGGGTGACAGAAACCTTTCGTATTAAAAAGGTGTACATATCCGACCCTGTCACGTATTCGCTTGAAGATTTGCACGGTGAGGAAATCACGGGAATATTCTATCGTCGTGAATTGCAACCGATATGAATGTGCAAATCGTTAGTAATGCACAAAATGATGTCGGGGGTACAAATTACACCAACAAGTTTATCATGCCACTACCCACATTATTTGATGCTGAAAACAAAGAATTATACATGCGGGTTTTAAATTTATTGTACCCTTTAACTATCGAAAATGTTCAAAGCGAGAAATGTGGGGTACAACTTAAAATGGTTTTTCCCACAACGTCGGATTCGGGTATCCAAATTAAATTTAAGACCGATATGATGTATTTACCACCGGGTGCTTATACGTTAGAGAAACTTCTTGATACTTTAAATACGTTTGTTGCCGAATATGATGTAAAATTTACAGTTTTAAATAACGCGCGAATCGGTGTAACGTATAATATCGAGCGTGAATATTGGCATTCTGACGTTCACATACAAAGAGTTACAACAAAACCACCCCATCAAATATTTGAAGTTTTTTCCCAAAATACCGCGGAGGGTGATGAATTTGAAATGGTATTTACCGAATCTTTGGAATATATGCTTGGTTTGCGGGAAATAAGGGTTCACCCGGATGTGAGCGAAACAAAATTGAAGTGGGAAAGTGGATCTTTTTATTTTGCAAACTATCTAAAACCGCCCCATGATTGGTACCGTTTCATGAATAAGACCAACGAGAGGGGCAGCAATAATTTTGCTTGTTCATTCATGGGTAAAGCCCTTCCAGATATTTCCAACGGTATTGATAAAATGTTTGTATATTGCGAACAATTGGAAATGTCGGTTGTTGGCGATACATATGCGCCTTTGTTAGCCATTGTACCCTTAAAAGCTAGCGATCGGGGTAGTGGTGCATTGTGTGTATATACACCGCCGAGTACACGACGTAAATTAATTAAGAGTAAAATTGATCAATTCAAAATTACAATCTACGATACAACACATACGCTAATACCGTTCAGCAGCGGCACCGTGAATATCGAGTGTGTCGTGGAATAAGGAAAAAATGTTAAAAATCGAATTGGAAGTAAAACCCGACCGCCCTAAAGAACTCACACCTGTTAAATACGAATACAGCTCGGAAGTTAAAGCACATCTATCGCATAAACTAATGTACTACACCATGGCACATGTTACGGGTTTATTAGGGGGTTATAAACTATCTGTTGTGCGAAAAATGGATGTTACCAATAAACTAACGAACGTTAGTTCGGGTGGTGAATTTACGACTCGTGAAATAAAAGTACACGGTGGTACATTTTACAGCGGTATAGATTTTGGTGTGACACGTGGGAAAACAGTTCGTCATTATTATACGCTAAAACGCTATTTATTATTTGAGCGTTTTGAACAGTTGGCAAATAACAAGATAATAATTCCTGTCTCGAATTCAACTGTTAAAACACCGCTACCCAATTGTTTATTAACCATACGAAATGTACGCGATTTAGATGATAACGTAAAATTTATTTTTGAACGTACTGGTGGATATGAACAAGATAGTTTTGCATTGGCTGCCGATGTACCAAATCGGTCAAAATTATCCATTGTTTTAAATATATATGATGAGATATAAAAAAGTAATCATTCGCCATGGAGCAAGCAGACTATGTAAAGCTATTAAAAGGCGGGGGTACACGTTATAAGGGGACAAGGTTGTATACATTATCGGGCAAAGCATCAACCGTTGAAGAACGTGCCGCCGATAAAATTTGCCCACCGCCACAATTAAACCCGTATTACGCGCCAAACCCAAAAATACAAAGGGTTGGTAAAATAGCACCAAGAGCGCCTAAACAGCAGCAACGAGGAAAAGCAGACATGTCACCGGAAATTTTAAAATTAATCTATGGGTAGTAAACGGCGAATAGCTAATAAAAAAGGGAAAAAGTCGAAGAGGGGAAAAAAAACTCAAAAAGGTGGTTTTGGCCCCGCTGCAGGAATAGCGTTGGGCATGGCATTACCCATGTTATTAAATACTGGCACAAGTGTTGTGGGTAGTATTTTTGGTAAAAAACCAGCACAAAAACCTGTACAAAGTGTAAATCAAGGGGGTAATAGAGCCCCGCCTTCATGGATGCAAGACAGACCGCCACCCCGACGTCACAGACGGAGATATTACGATGATGATTATTATTAAAAAATTATATATGTATATAAAAAATTAGAATTTTTAATAAATTTTTAAAAAAATGATGTGTGTTTTTTTTTTTAAAAAGAAACTCTTTTTTAAAATAGTTTCATTAGTCCCTCGAACATCGTCAAGATGAAACGTGCAAGACAGTCACCACCGGATGCCGAACCTATTGAAGAACATGATAGTGGTTTTGTGGGTCCTATGACATTATTTGATACGTTCCCACATAATGACACATTTGTCGAAACACGTACTTTAGAATTACTCCCCAACCCTAGTACGGAGAATGCTGAAATCTATACGTTTATGCATAATCGGCAGGATTATGGTGTGATAGATATGATTGATGCAAAACTATCTGCAAATTTGCGTGTGGCGGTAACAGTTGGGGGTGCCGCACCCGCCGCCGATAGAAATGTATCTGTTAACATGGCACCGTTACGTTACGGTTGGAAAACCAAAGCGGTATATTTAAATAATCAATTAATTACACCACAATCGAGTAAGGAAAATGAACTTGAGTTTACTCATGATTTTCTAACCACCGTACCCTCAGAGTACCTTGATGATAAAAATATTAATTTAATGATCCGCGACACACCCGGGCAGATGGATGTAGTCACAAATTTGCATCATAATACGAATGCGACGGGTAATACAAATCTGGGTGCTAGAGAGAGATTTGTTAAAATAAATCAAGCCGCAGTATTTCGATGTATTGATAAACTAGATGTGTTGGGACGTGTTAAACGTTATGTCCCCACATCGTTTGATATCAAAGTGGTTTTAACTCGATTGGAGAAGAATAAAGTCTTGTATGGTACGGCCGCACAATGTGCGGTAGTAGAGTTGAAAATGGCGGATTTAAAATTAGTCATGCCGATTTTAAAACCAAACGCCCAATTATCAGCAGCCATCAATGATTTGATGATTCAAAAAGGTGAAGAATGTCGCTATTATAAAATTACACACCGGTATGTTGCAATACCCGTTCCTATCAATAGTCGCCACATTCAGCACAAAGATATTTTCAATGGGGCACGACCTACGCGTCTTGTGACAAAAATTATATCACAAGCTCGTTACAATGGTTCGTATGAATTATGTCCGTTCAAAACACCTTTCCCCAATATTTAACGTTTTGCTGTAAGCATCAATGAAGCCGAAATACACCCTGTAATTACTCATTCAAAAGAGGCATACATTAATTTACGACAATCATTGGATAGACGACATAGCGAAATGCCTTGTACATATGACGAGTATCTATCAGATTTCGGTATGATTGTTACAGATTTATCCCCGAATCGTGATGGTTTTTCACAAGTTTTACCCAATTCAACAAGCGGGAATTTGGGCGTGAAGATTGATTTTGCACAAGACACCACCGCCGCACAACAGCTAATTTGTATCGGTGAATTTAGAAATCAGATGAGTGTTGGTTTTGGGACACAAGCACGTTTAAAATACGCTGCATAAGTATTTTCAGAACTACTCTGTTCAAGAATGGCCCAAGGACGCTGTTGTGCAAATAGATTGTGTAAAAAAAAACAAAAAGGCGGAGAATCATGGCTCTCTAATTTTACAAAAGCTTGGGGGCCAAAGCAAAAGGGTGGAAAGTTTAAAATTGCAAAAAAACAAAAAGGTGGAAAAGGATCGTTACATTATTTTCGAAAAATATTCGTCCCAGAGCAAAAGGGTGGGAATTTTAATATTGGGAAAAAAGCCAGAGGGTCGAAAAAAAATCAAAAGGGCGGTTTTGCAATGTGGAAATATGATTTTAAATTTTGATTAAAATGTATTTTAAAAGTCAACGTATACACATTTTTGCATTACAATATGCCAGGACACGTGATCGTGAAGAGGGGTTTAAAACCAGGGCCCCCTAAAAAGCCCGAATCTTTTGTGAGACGGCCGCGACCACCGAACACGAAAATTATTAGCGGTAAAGGGGTGAATATTCAGACTGTTCACATACACAGTATAATTTCAAAATATGTGTGAAAATACAGAATTTAATGAAGACATTGGATTAAGCGACAACGTAAACTTAACGGGATACTCAGATGCTGATGATGATGATAATTGTGGTGATGATGTCGATCAAACGAATGCGGCGAATGATGATAATTTGAATAACACTGATCCCAAGTGTGTAGACGTTGACGAAAATATTCAACCGTTTGATGAGTGTGATAATTCGGATTTAAATATTGATGGCAAGGATGAATTTCAGGATTGTGAATTTGAGGAAGAGGGTTTAGATGAAGAAGTAATTCAGGGTTTTTTAAAACACTTAATTCAACTACAAGACCGAGTTGTGAAGAAAAGGAAAGAAAATCAGCTTATCCCCAGCGTCACACATTTTATGAAATTAGATTTCGATCAAAAAAGCCAACAAATTTCACCGACTATTATAAGACATTGTCTACACATATGTGATTTAATTGTGCGTAACAAACTTGATATTAAAATAGATCGTGGCGATCGCGGTGTTTTAGAATATATTACCAGTAAAGATTGTCCGAAGAAAGATATAAAATTTACGTTTGTAGAAAATATGCGCATTCACGGTTATATTCGGAAAGCCATTACACAACTCGAGTCGATCAAGAAAAATCATTTGCAAAAAAATGGGCGACGAAGTCAAGCGGTTAGCGTTGATAGACGCGAATAAATTCAACAACTTAATGGACAGGCTTGCTAAAAATAACGCGAGAGACGAATTGTTGAACAACGCCAAACGTAGCGCCAAGGAGGCCGGTCTTATTGAAAGTCGTCAGGAAGTTAAAAAATCTGTTAAGAATAACTCCCCCACTGCGGGCAATGACATCATTAATTTTTTAAGAAAAACCGAAAATTATCGAACATCTGTGGGTCTTAATCAAATCGAGGAGGGTGAAGATGTGGCGGAGGGTAGCAAACCCGCACCGGTGACAGCGGGTGCTTCGGGTGCGGGTCATAAACTGGGAACCGTGGCGTCTTCAGCGGAAAAAATTGAAGCACATTTTCGAAAAAATGGTGTACCTCAGGGTATCAAATTTGCAGACGGTGGTCATCTAAGTATATCCTATCAAGATATGCTGGAGGATTTAACACGAAACTACACCCAAACACAACCTAATTTAAACGAACAGAACCGACATAAGGTCTTATTATTATTAAGAAAGACGAATATGCCAATTTCCTATATTCGAAATAAAAGAATTAAAGAAGAGTACAAAACTATTTTGAATCAAAGCAATTTCGGTACCGTACAAACCGCACGTAAACTCCCGACAGGAAACCAAAAAACGGGTAAACGTCCTGCTATGCTCGGTAAGAGAAGAAAAAGGGGTTATCTTTCAGATTAAATAATGACGTCGTTAACTTGTTTTCTAAGTAAATTCCTAAACACCGACGACATCGATAAATTGGCTCGCTCAAATGCTGTTGTTAAAAAAACATTTGGGTTGCTATCCTGCAAATAATTATCCGAAAAATATCAAAGACCGTTGTTGTTGGGTGTGGAATACGGACGAAGATGATAAACCCGGCACGCATTGGGTGTGTGTTGTAAAGGATCATCAAGATATTGTATTTTTCGATAGTTTTGGGAAAACACCACGTTTTTTTGGTCGTAAATACTGGCTTGATTATTTCCGCAGCTTACGCTGTAACTTTTCTGTATATATGCAACTACCCCGTCAATCATATATTAGCAAGACCTGTGGCGCGTGGTGTTTATTATTTCTAAATAGTTTTTATAACAACGATAACATCATCGATGTATTTTCTGTCAAACAAGATGAACTTTTAGAGAACGAGAACAAATTAAAACAATTAGTGTATCAAGAATACCCAAACATGATAAATATATATAAACGTAAATGTAATACAGCTAAAGGTCAAATTTGTAAAACATATTTAGAAGCATTTCAACAATACATGTAATTTTCTATATTTTTATTAATATAATATTTCTATACAAATTGTTTTTCTGTATCATAAATTATTGTACAATCATTTGGCAAGATACCCGTTCGAACACGTGCGTTGGCAGGCGAATGAGGGCAACCATCAAACAACACATAACCGTATTGTTTTTTACTCACATCGGCTAATATTTTCCGTATCGTCGGCAGACGGATGCCCTTATTTCGCGCTATCAATTCGATATCTCGAGTATCAGTGTGGTTATTAAAAAGAAGATGGTACATGCTATTTACACGCATATTTCGTAATTTTCCACTACCATAATTTAAATTTTGACACACAAAAAATACAGAGAGATTTAAATGATGGCTATCGCGTGTCGCTAAATTGTTTAAGTTTTCGGTGTTTTCCCTACTCGACATTGCAAAAACCATTAGGTTGTCAAGAACAAGTAGGGTGCGTTGACCCAACAGCGGTCTTATATTCTCTATCGTGGGTATACCCAATCGTGTACAGTCGTAAAACTCACAACTTTTAAGTGCGGATGTTTCACGTCTTTCAGCAACAAGGTGTGTTATTTCTGCATATATTGGTTGTTCAGCTGTGTATAAGTACAATAGTTTGTCTGGTGTTGGTACAATCAGTTCGTCAATGTTTTTTATCATTTCAACCATTAGATGTGTTTTACCCGATTGTGTCGGCCCGCATATCGTCATCATAAACGGGTGTTGAAAGGCTAATGTTACATCGTGCATACAACCGGTGTTTGTTTTATTCTAAAAAACGTATAAGAAACCATTATTGATAACCAAAAGGTGTGGTTGTAAAATTTTCATGCACAACCCGTTTATCGAAGGTGAATTTAAATGTTTTCATGTTTTGTTGCACCGAAATACTTTGTGTATTTTCACGCACAAATTCCCGATAGGTAATTTCAATTTCTTTGGAAGGATCTTCCACACACTCTCGAATGCTGTCGAATGTTAACAGTTTTTTGGCAGCCCCTTTTAATGAAAACCCTTTTACATACACAATTTCATCTTGTTGTTTGCTTTCGCTACCGTCATCGTTGTAACGCGTATAGACATTCGTACGATACGAATAGGATTTCGGCCCTGCCGAACAAAATTGTTCAATCCATTTTGCGCTTGTTTTCTTTTCAATTAACTCATCGGTCATTTGACCCAAATATTCGCCGGTTTCTAAATATTTACCATTAGCACGATCCTCTATAAAAATCACCGAATCTGTATCATAGTACAAAACATTTTCCCCTAATTTAAGCAAATACTCTAATAATTCCAACCGAGAATACGCTGTGACAAAGGAGGCGATAATCACATTACGATTGGGTAGGGGTGTTAGACTCGCTGTTTTCCTATGTGTTGTTCTTGCGATATTGTCGCTAATAAAATCTAAAGAGGTTACGTCCACAGTGCGGTCGTTTACTAATTCTAACAAATCGTGCAGGCTTTCTAAAAATGACACAACCGTAACATCTTCGTTTTGAGCCAATTTACCCCACAAGGAATTCAACAAAGCTTTCATAACCATTCTCTGACCTGCATTATAAGACATTTTATCAGCCTCCAAAACAACGCCCTCATGCTTTTGATAATCGTCAATATATTCCTGCAACTTTTCTTGGACAACCGCACCGTTTTGGTCTAGACATTTTTTTGGTACCCCGCTACTTTCTTGTTTAAGTTTTATAAATGTGTTTACATATTGATCGAATATTCTTTCACGTTTCTCATAATGATAAATCTCATAAACAATTAAGATACGGTAGTCTAATTGTAAAGCTTTCTGAATTTCTATACTTGTCCACGTGCCATATAGTGCACGCTGTTCATCATCGTGTTGACATGGATCACTCTGCTGCCGTTGTACACACGTACGGCACAAGGGAAATGTTAATTTCTCCGAACGAAATGGTAACACAGGAAACAATAAGTGTGTGGGTGGTAAAATTTTACACTTAATTAAACCAAACACATGATTTACATCGATGTTTTGACATGCGGGACCCCGAAAAATGACCGGATGTTGTGTAGGATATTCAAATTTTTTCTGCACATACGGGTAAAGAGAGCATATGTCAAAATACATTGCCCGTAATCCGGTATGTTTCATATCATAATATAGTGTAGCAGGGGATGTGCGCCCCCCAAAAAGTGCGTCACGTGGTTCCAACTGGATGAATTCGAAAAATGATGTTAGACGCAATTGTTTTAAACGATATGGTGTCATGTCGACATCGTTGCGATAATCACATTCCCATTTCTCTACAACCGTATAGCCCGCTTGTCGAAACGTTCGCGATAATATCTGCGTGCTAGCCAACAGTGTAAAAAATTTCGCACATAAAACGCTATTGTAACAATCACCATCGTAACAACGCTCACACCCATGATAAAAACAACCGTGAAACTGATATATTGTTTTGGTCTCTTCACAATATCCGTCAACATAACGTGACATAATGCGTGCCTCACCCTCCACACTAAGCTTACTACGTAATCTTAGATCGTTTTCATTTAGCATAGTTTCAATCTCTTTCAGCCAACACAAAGCGATTGCGCTTTGATTAATATTCTTACCCCCATAACCACATGCTGGCACCTGTCCAATTTGCTCTTCTTTTAGAAAATTTTTACGATATATTTTTAGAGCCAAACCCGCCACAGTATTACATGTGCGGTCGTAAAAGGGTAATACGCCCGTAATACGATAGATAAGTCTGGAGAATATGATACAACCCTGTCTTAAAATATCCACATCCAGGCAGCAATAATAATATATCGCCTCACGAAACACGTAGGGTTTACTCTGTTGTTGTCTATACCACTTATCAAAAGCTTTTCGTTCCTTACTACCTTCCGGGGGTAATTCAAAATATTCTAACCCTACCATCTCGCCAACATAATTTAAATTGGTAAACAAGTAAGGGTGGTACCCCTTCGTTACGTTTTCAATCCCTAAAGCCTCGGGAAATTTTGCCAATCTCATCGAAAGAAATAGGTAGCTGTCAATTACTTTCAAATTTCGTTCTTCCAACTCTAAGGACATCACCTTACTACCATTCATTAGAACATTGGGTACAAGTTTACGATGAACTAATAATTCACGCATTAAAAAAATACTATCAAATCGCCCCCCGTTATGCGCCACCCACACACTATTTTTGGGTTGAGCCATCATGAAATCGATCAAATCCGCTACAATATCGTCGTTGTTTTTTTCAAAAACATATTGTTGATGCCCACAGCAAAGCACCGGTTCGATTGAGATATCCGTAAAAGATTCGCTCGGATGCGGTAGAAAATGTTCGTAATTTTTCACAAACGGTTTTTCGTCACAAACATCACAGACTTTTTGCACGATACAATAAAACGGTATCATATAACCCTCCTCCTCTACGCGTGTTTCAAAATCATAAAAATACAAAGTGGGTCGTGATTCATTTTTTTGCTCTCTAACCAGTTTAATATAACAATGATGATCTTTCTTTTTCAATTTATTACAATGTATGCAGAACATTTCGTCACATTTATGTTTTGTATAGCTTTTACTAGCCGTGATTGTTTTACGCATTACCGTTTTATAACACACGCCGCAGAAAAAGAAACGCTGACACGGTGTCTCGGTTGTTAACAAACCATTCACATATGTTTTAAACACCCTTTGCGACAAATGTTTGGTAAAACAATCGGGGTTGTAAAAAATAACATCACATATAGTACACTGTTGTACAAAACCCGACACGACGGCACACCTGCGGGTATTACTATAGCAACGATGACATGTCAAACTCGATATACACACGTGTGTAGTTTTTGTTTCGTGCCGGCGGAAATATCGCATGCATGAAAAACAGAATTTCCCCAAATTTAAACGTGAAAATGTATATGGGGAGGTTACTAGATCGTAATGGTTATCGTTTAGCCATAAAAAAATAACTTCGTTCATAATGCGGTGTATGTGTTGATCCGGATCTAATCTAGAATCGTACACAATGCTGTCGGCTTGTTGCTTGGAAAAAACAACTAAATCTATACCGTCCAATTTTAGATATTTTTCATACACATCTTGTAATTGATTAATACGTACAGGTTGGCCAACGGGTAGGTTGCTAGTCGTATACACGTTTGTAATTGCGTCGTCTGTATATATGCTGCTTAATGGTACATTATTGTTTCTTTTCAGTTTGTATGCTTCAGTATCGTTGTGTAGATAAGATTTACCCACTAAGAGTGCTAAACCCAAACAACAATTTTTAACATTCGAAGTGCCAATTTGAAAAACACCATGTCGAACTTCGCGACCATGTTTTAACGCCGGTTTTTTTTTTCTACCGCTGCCAGACTCGACGGTGTTTTTACCAAAATATTTATACAATTTACTTTGTTTTTTTTTCTTTTTTACCCGTGACGTTTTATTACGCGAAACATAATTATTTGGAAAAATGTACAAACTAACGGTGGTATTCCAACCATTATTTATAATCTCTTCTGCATTACTTTGCATATGTTTTTCGAAAATATTAAAAAACATATCGGTTGTAAAATCCGTTACGGTTAATACACTTGTGGAAAAAGGGGTGCGTGGGGCATTCGAGATAAAAAATCTTGCCTTATCCGTATTCGTCTGAGCATAATACAACATGGTATTTATTAAATAATCAAAAACACTACGTAAATTGGCAAAAAAATCGGGTAAACTCCCCATATGTTCACTACCCACATTTACATCATATATATATTCGGTATAACCAAAACGTTGATGGGTGCGTATTTGACGCACCGAAAAGGCTTTTTTTGGCACATTCGCATTTTTATGTGATTGTACAAGTGCCGCTAATTCAATGTCACGATCCTCTATATTGTAATTACGTTTTTCTCTATATAAAGTTTTTGTTTTCTTCACCATTTCAGCTAATTTAGTTATTTTTGACCGCTTATCATTTCTAGCAACAACCATTTTTGCAATTTCTTTCTTTCGTTAAATAATTTCCTCACCAATTCAATTGTTTGTTGATCGGCGACCCCTCCATCGACACCTTTTTGTCGTTTATTTTCCTTTTCCCCTTCATCTCGCCGTCTTTTTTCACCACCACCCTTCGACGCCATTGGATGCAGCAACAATTTGTGACCTTTACGTTGTCGTTCTCTTCGCCTCCATCTGTAAAATCCATCGAAATATTATTACTTTCACGAATTTGCACCATATTACAATTAAATGTCACCCACGGTGTATCTTCACCACCCTTAAAACATTTTTGACCCATTTCAATCACACGTGTTGAACAGACAACATCCGAATAAAGAATGAGCAACAAATTTGAAATACATATCTCGGTACATGTAAAAAATAAATTGGCCAAAAATGATAGAGAACTTTACAAAATAGGTTACGAGGTAACCGATGATGATATATAAAGTGGACCCAGACACCCTACGTCAGAGATTGGCGTTGTTTCAGGTTGAATCAGAAGCGCCGTCAGATGTGGTGACTAAAATTGAAAATATAATAAAATATATCGAACGACATTACGACGACTATATCGGCGTAACTATAGTATATGCAGAATAAATAAACAAAAAAAAAATGAGTGGTCGTTTTGTGACAAACTTAAAACAAAAACGTTTACAACAAAGTATTCGAAAATCAAAACAATGTATTAGCAATACATTATTACAAAAACGATGTCGTAAACGAACAGCACATACGCCAAAATGTTGGATACATTTGGCAAAACAAGATAATCTACGAATTAAACCCTCCCAAATTCAAAATGCGGGAAAAGGGTTATTTAGTTGGAAAAAAACCATACCACCGGGGCGTATAATTTCAAAATACACAGGACGACGCCGTACTCGTGCACAAATTGATAGAAAATACGGTAAAAGCGTTGCAAAATATACCATATGTAATCAAAAAGGCTTGTGCGTCGACGCAAATCATACAACGGATGCGGCGGGTAGATTTGCGAACGATGCTAGAAATACGAAATTTCATTATAATAGCCGCATGCGTGGAAATCAAATGTTCCGTCTAAAATCCACACAACGTATCCCACCACATTCTGAAATTTTTGTTAACTACGGTAACGACTATTGGTTATAAAAACAACCGCAGTTATTAAAAACATTCATATTTTCGTAGAAGAACTACGTACACACACACATAACAATGCCATTGCGTAGCAGCTGGGATCGACAAATAAATCCGGGTATCAACCCATATGCTGGGGGCCGTCGCAGAATTAAAAGACAACGTGGCGGTTCAAGCGTACCTAATCCCGGCGATATATTACAACAAGCCGTCGCAAACGCTGTGGTAAACGGTAAAAGATATGCCGCGAGACAAATGAAAAGAGTAAAACATAAAGCGGCAAGAGCAAAACGCAAAGACAGACGTAGCAGAATACAACGCACGCGAACTGTAAATCAAGAAGGGGGTGGTGTACGAAAACCCATTAATCACATGCCTGTAGTTTATCAATATCATCAATAAAAAATTACATACCTCTTACTGTTTTTTTTATTTTATTATATCTTGTCCTGTTTATCACCGATGCGTACAACGACGTGTTTTCTCACCGATGCGCTATACGACGTGTTTTCTCACCGATGCGCTATACGATGTGTTGTTACAAGAAATACTTCGTACAAAATCACGGGTTCTTTTCAGTTCTCGACCTCGTTCGCGACTTGCTTTTTTACCCAATTGCTTACCACTACTAAACATCGATCCTGTCACACCCCATACTTATAACTTATTAAAATCTGCTACCTGTCAATCATATATGTCACACTTTAAACTTGGCCCGTTTATAAGTGAATAAATGCAAAGTGCAAATATTCATTCTCGGATTGATTGATTGAAACAGGTATTAAAAAATCATTTTATTTATTTATTTTAAATTTTGTACTACGCCATAAGAGATACTGTTTCATTGACAGTATCCTCATAACTAAAGATTAAACATTTAAACCAAACAATATATAAAAAATGTCAACGTCCAAATATGGTCATACTACATGAATACATATCATTTTGTTTTTGCAGTTTCTTTTCTAGCATAAAAAATGTCAACGTCCAAATATGGTCATACTACATGATACATGTCATTTCGTTTTTGCAGTTTCTTTTCTAGCATAAGTTTATATTTACATATTTGTCTTGCACCATCTAAATTATTATAACAAAAATCATTTTTCACACAATCCCTATACCGGGTTAATGCTTTAATATAGGGTCTCATATATTTTACTTCGTTTTCCGTTTTTCGACCACCAAACCCAATTGCTGTGTTGGAAGATTGTGTTTCCGCGTAATGCATACCGTAGCATTCACACAGTACCCACAACCGCATCAGTGTTAATACAATCGGTCTTTTTACCGTGAGCAACGCTGCCAGATAGATCCGTTCACTGCAAAACATCTGTCGGACAGTTTTAGGACTCATCCGTTCCTTAAATTCTAGAACCCCGTATAATTTCCAACCCCATCTCCCCGTCATCTTTCTTAACCCCAATCTATTGGGTATGTCCACATAACGATAATAGGACAATTCGCCACTCTCTAATATTTTTTTCAAAAACTCTGCAACTCTTAATTCATTTGCAAACGTTTCGAAATAGTGTGTTTTAGTTGATGTAGCCATCATGTAACGATTGCCAAAACAATATCAAAATCTTGCCACGCAATTAATTTACGAACCTTTAAACAATGAATAAAATCCTCACGATCGCTTTGTTTTAAACGACACACATTAAAGAAACGAGCAAATCGAAGCAAATTATATGATGACCTTATAAGGGCATACCCTATTATTTTTGCATCGTATTTTAATACATACAACCCATTTGTAACAGTTCATCAAATAGTTCACTAAAATCAAACATGTTTTACACATATTTTATAACATAAGATGTCATAAAACAATCCACACGTTGGCAAGGACTCTCAAACACATCGACTACAACACCATAAAAAGCTTTATCCCTCAAACTATCAAAATCCGCATCTAATATATGGCGTAAGACGGGTAAACCTATACAATTATGACCGTCGCAATCTAATTCGGCATGTTCAGGAAATGGGTGTTTTTCCACACTCTGGTCTAATAACGTTAAAAAATCTTCAAGATATCTAATACATTTTTTGCATACTAATATATGCGCTAAATACTTACGAATAAACATACCCCTCTTCTCTTCTACATTATATGTTACAGTTACTACAGGTTCGCCATTTTCATTCTTTTCATTGTGCACTTCTTTACGGTAATACTGCAACACTTTCTCATTACAGTCGAGAGCGATTAACATTTCCCCCATATTTACATATAACCCCGTCTTAAAATGTTGCATGATGTTTTTCAACCCCACATACAACTGTGTACCCGCAAACACTTCGACCTCCGAACTGTTTTCGTCGCAATCTCCCAAACCAACATGGAAATAATGTTCATCTACATAATACTCGCAAGGCATATTTAACGATTGGCAACGTACCAACTGTGTTTTTGAACGTACTAATATTTCACGGCAGCAAAACACAAAGGGTGTTAGCACAAAAAAACCGTCGCGAGTGCCCAATCGGGGAATCCATTCCACGGGTATGTGATATAATACCTTCCCACCGTCTTCGTCCACACCGGCGATGGCCGTGCGGGGATTTTTATCCCACACCAGATCGGGTGTGTTGGGGTTGTCGCTTTTTACCTCTTCATTTGCATTTTCTACATCATCGACAGCAATAAAATCACGTATCGTCTCAAAACCCCCTTTCAGCCAACATTCCTCTTTAACTCGGGAATAATGCACAATTTGTCGTTCCTTAACCATTGGTGGTTTATAGAATCGTAAAAATTTACATGTAGAATACATATTCCACAATGTCGGATTGAAAGGTTGGGCTAATAGAAGATACGATAATGCTCTGAGCTTTTCAACATACGCCATCCTTACAGAATAGAATACACAAAATGCATGAACATTTTTACTTCGTGTTTTGAACAGTGGTAATGGTTACCAAGGTGATAAGGACAACATTCTTGCGATTGACCAAATAAGGTCAGCAAGTCTGCATACTTTGGACATGTCAATACTTCAAGATTAATACACCGAACACCCATATTATTTAACAAATTACGTTCGATATCTCCGCCTTTATAAGCCACTAAATCAGCATGAGACATAAATTCATCTGTTAAAAATGCCATCGATTCTTTTAATGTATAAAAATCTCCCGTCAAACGTTTAGAGACAATCGGTAAGCCGTGAATTTTCTTTATTTGATAATCAATTGTATAACTGTGTTCATTAAATGGTACAAACGGCATATACACTTGAAACGACGAACACTCGCCGGTTTTCACCCTATAAACCGATATTTCATGAAGAAATGTGTTTTTTTTATTCGTATATGCCTCGCAATCAATCACGTGTGTAATACGTCGCGCTATTTCTTTTTTGTTTTTTTCAACCATACCCCTTTCCTCATGAGACATCTGATTATGTTTTCTTTGAAATAACCCCTCCATACCCGAATATCAACAGACAACTAACAAACACTTTTCATATGCACACTCTTTTTATTTTATTTTTTTCTCTAAATCTATCATAATATGTTCACATTGTAACCTTAAAAAATGTAAATTTGCCTTCTTACATATACAACAATTATTCATTTTCAGACATAAACAATCCTGACTGTCTAACCGATACATATTTTTTAACATTTCCTTTACTATATGTTGCAAACCATATATATAATCCGGAGACACTACAATTTTATATACCCTTGCTATATCTAACCGCAACCGATTAATATATTCCGACGAAACACTACTGGTTAAGAATGTAATATGTTCTCTAATATATCTCATAATATTTTCTACTGTCGCTAAATATGTATTATTTAAAAAATCATTAAGAATCACAGATTCTACACATCTTTGCATACCTAAACATTGAACCCCCATCGTATCGTACATTACATGTCCACTACTATTCATAGTCGGTAGATATTTTATATCATATGTAACATGTATATGCGCAAGACCATCTAATGTTTGAAATGTTAATCGATACATATAACCATGATGAGTTCTAAGCATTTCCGTCATATACAGCCAATATTGAACATTGGGGTATACCTGTCGATAAGCATATAATGACGTGTTCGTATGTCGTAAAACGGACGGTTTTGCACAGTTACGTTTTTCCAAATAACGGTATAATATCCACCCATACTCATCTCGAGGTGGTAAAATACACCGCATCACTGACCAATAATCCCGCGTCCTGAAAATACAATTTTCTACACTTGATTATATCGCGGGACGTATACAGTCCACAATGGCAGATCTGGTCGTTTCGCGTACAACCACACCTTGAAATTATCCAATCTTGTACTTTACACACCAATTTTTGATGATATAGCATAATCTGAACCAAACGTTTCGACACAGCTATCCCGTGCTCCTTTTCGAAATCTGCAGTCAAAGAGAGAGGACAATCTGCCTGATAATTTTCAGTTATATATGTTATCAATGTATCTACCGTCCCGCTAACATAATCTCGCGCTTCAGCAACTGTTAACGATCTTCCTTCATCATCATCATCATCATCATCATTACCATAGTCAATATCAAAACCTGTACTATCAAACGTCACCGTCGGTAAATATATAGGTGTAACAGTGTGCGGTGTTGTTGTTTAAACGCTTCGGGATAAATCCGATAATCGATGTCCAATTCGGCATAAATCCCAAACAACCAATGTACGACACCAATCGTTATATATCTATCGCCATTCTCACACTTGTTCACAGCTATAAGATAAATGTAAAAACTAGGTATGGTTTTCATAACACCGTCTACAATTACTGTCGGCCATAACCGACCGCCCGCTAACTGTATCCGCTGCTCTCGCCCCACACGTAGATAGAAATCGAAAAACTTATAATCGCTAGCTATGGTCTGTAATACTGCGAGCGGTTCGTCATCAAGAACTGTATCACAGGGTGTGTGCACAACAATAGCGTCTTTTATTTCATCTGAACTATAACGAAAAAACAAATGCTAGTATTATCGTGACCATTGTAGCATGGGTTTACCCCTATGATCCAATTCTAAAAGAGAACAGTCACCGATCTTATAATGTTCCACTTGTCGTTTTATTAAATCTTGACTAACTATTACACCCGGACAACGTTTTGCAATCTCTATGGCAATTTGTTCAATACTACACATCGCCGCTTCCCGATACATTTGTCTCACGCTGTTGTAGCATTCTTCATGAAAAATACCACATAAGTTTCCGTAGCAACCGGGAAAACAAAACTGCATATCATAATTCCCCAATCTATCCTGATAATTATAAGTTAAATCCAGTGATGATTCTCTTATAAGACACCGATGATTCAGGAATACAACCCTCATATAACACCGGCTTCCATCCTGCGCCCGACTGACATACGCACGAACATCGCGAAAAACATAACCCGCATGATAGATATCTATAGAGCCACGACTATGACTCTTTAATTGATGAAATAACATTTCACAAAAGCGATCATACCTCGACATATTCATCTGTACAGCTATATGTTTGAACCAACACCTCTTCTAAATCTTTTATAGATATATTCGAATAATAAATTGTAAATAAATACAATAAGAACGTTATTAGCAGCAATGTTGATAAAAGTTTACAACAAAAACTCATTTCACTTTGAAATATATAACATAGACTGTTAAAAACCGCCCTTATAAGAACCTTCATCCCAACATATAAAATATTAAACTAACGTGTACATATATGGGTACACCCATATATAGACACAGAGCTTTCCTTTCACATTCCCCTGTTGCTACACGCTAATAAACACACATAAACATTTTTAACCGGGTTTAACCTACACGACCATATATGACCCACTACACACAAACACATATAAACATCTTTATGGTAGTCATAACTACAATGACCAAATATGGTTATCACACTAAAAACACCCTGTCCCATTTTGGGCACGGCGTTTACACTTGAAACCTTACAACTATAATTTTAACACATTTTACTACAGCTACTTGTAAACGAAACAGCATAAATCCTACGTCTGCTAAAAAATGGATCCGAATTTATACAAATTTCTCGACCTGTTGGGGGTTGTCGTCACCAATGAGACAGATCTTACACCGCTACTTGCTGAATACTAGGATTTTACAGCGTACGCTCAACAATTTCCTGATAATATTTACGAGTTGAATTTTATCAAATGGCAGCTGGCAAAGAAGAATCCAACAACCCAACCTCGCCTCAATACACCCATATATCAAACACCACCGCAGCAAATACCTTCACCGATATCTACATCGCCATTAAACCCGAACAACATCGCCTCCCAACTAGACTTTTAACACCGCAACCGACTACACTACCTATTAAACTTCAAAAATTAAAGAAACATGTTAACATTGTCAAAGGGCAATTTAACGTGTTCACACTTGAAACGCCACAAAACCCACAAGAACCCGACGAAACTATTATTGTTGACGTGAAATGCGGTAGCAGCAGTATTAACACTAACGAGTCGGTCGATTTCCCGAACACAAACGCCGAAACGTTGTTTACTTCACTTAGCACATGCCTCGACGATTTCATGGCTACCGAGTCGGTAGAAATACCTCAAATATTCACGACCCCTGTGAAAGTAATTCATAAGGGAAAAGATATAACGGCAGCCAGAAAACAATTTGAAGAACAAGAAACAGAAACGGAAGCAAAGAAAGCAAAGAAAACCCCGGCGAGGAAACAAAAACGGGAATGTGGGCGCCCTACCACCGATCAACAATTGACACGTATGGACGAAGATTTTAACGACCTGCAAGCTTTGCAGCTAACACGACGTGAACTGACCCTACCTGATGCGCGGGGTAAATGCAAGAAATCGAGAAAAATTTTGACAAAACTACCCCACGATATTGTTGTCGATACCATGCGCGAGTACCAGACCTACGAACTATTTGCAGATACACGGACTAAAGCACTGCAGGATATTCAGGAAAAACGTGAACTTTTAGAAAAAATTAACGCTCCAGAATACGTACTGTCTACGTTATTAAAAAAACGAAATGATAGCGACTCTAGCACATGACTTTTTAGTATAAACATATCAAATTTCTGAATATTTCTTTGATTTTATTGTAAATATTATTAATAAAGATTGATTACCAATAAAACTTTATACTTTACGATTGGTGTGTTGAAAAACGTTACTAGCATTTTTTAAAAAACTAAAAAATGATATTAAACGTTGATATAATCGCATATTCTTATTGAGAAAATACGATATTGGTTAATATATATACAAAAACACCCGAAAAAGGAATATTTTCTATGGAAACACCGGATAAAACACAGTTCGCAAGTGGTAACACACCCGAAACTTGTGACGTCACGACGTACGATTTCAAAAACGGCGGCAAGTTCGAACGAACGTCACTTCGGTCGACCATGGCTTTGGGTTCGGAGCTCCCCCACGCATGCGCACACGCCACTTGCGCAATGCACCTGTCAATCAAACACGGCAAGCATTCGTCCTAAATTGGGTACGCCCCCTTCAAATTATCCCCCCCGTCCGTACAGTCAGCGGATGTTACCTTTGACGCCCGCGATAGTTTCACTTTCCATTCAAAGCTCCAGTTAAATGAAGTAGGTTCACACACCCCCTTTTTTTTTAGTATACCTCTTACTATTACTACTCGACAATCAGTGCTCTCACTTCTAAGGATTTTTCGTCAGAAATAGGAATTTTGCAAAGTTTTAAGGATTTTTTTAGGAATTCCATTTTTAACGAATTTAAATATTTCGAGAAAGGTCTTTGGCAGTTTTGGTAGAAATAATAAGAATGCTGTTTAGCCTCAAAATATTGTGAGAAAAACGAATATCCTTTCTTTCAGTCTTGTTACACATGTTACAGTAAACTGAAATGTATTTAAAAATAGCAACAAGTTACATAATTATAGTTTCTTGGCGCGACTGTGCATCTTATGTATCCTTTGTATTAACATTCCAATGATTCCATCAACAAAACAATTTACTATTAATTTAGTTATTTACTTCATTGTTGTTTTGAACATTTGCGATAAGTTGGTGAGCAATGTCGTTGGTAGCATTGCTTTTGACAGACTCAGAACGAGGTGAAAGAACAGGATTGCGGGGTACTTACAAGGATAAACAAGTCATTTAAGGAATTTTGGGAATATCTGAGGAATTTTGGAGCTCACGCTAAGGAATTTTAAAATTTTGTTGTGAGAGCACTGTCTACAATATGATAGGCTGTAATGTTCATGAATTGAGTTTTTGAAAAGATATTGCAAATTATTTTAACTCCAGTGACATCATATGTCGGCAAATACCTGTAGATCACTCAGGTACATTAATGCCTGGGTCTCAGTTTGTGTATTTAAAAAAAAAGTATATGGCCTTGATTATTACCATTCAAGTTTTATATGATTTATCAAAGGAGATTCTAAAAGTTGACCTACTTTTCATTGTCATGGCAACAATCATGTGATATCTTTCGAAAAACAAGACAAAAATTATATGTTTTATTCACAGGCCTCAAATTTAGTAGCCTGCGAACAGGCTCTCAAGCTGAATTGAGAGCCTGCATCGATGACTAATGAATTTGAATATCTGCGTCTCAAATCGTGACGCGAAATTCTCATTGGTCAGATGCTATAATTTATATTATTCCGCTGAGCTCTATATATGTCAACTGCTAAGCACTATGCATAAAAAACACATTAACTGATCAAATTGGTCTTGGCCATCTTATCTCAAAGCATGAAATGTTCTGTTTTGAGAAAACAGTATTTAAAACATTTAAACTTTTGCTTCAATATCTTATATTTCGAAAAACAGTATAAACTGTACGGTCTAAATTTAGTTTGCATGGTCTAAATTTAGTTTGCACGAAAGTTGTAAGCAACCCCATATAAGGATAGACATTCCATATTTGGAAAAACGAACGTTACGGGGCAGATATTCAAATTCATTAGTCATCGATGCAGGCTCTCTCAATTCAGCTTGAGAGCCTGTTCGCAGGCTACGAATTTAGCGGTGGCCACTGGCCGTCAATGCCCTGTTTGTTTGCCGCTATGCCCTCGAAATATACTGAAATTCACGGCCAGTAGTGGCCTGCCCTCAAACACAGAGTACAGTATATACTTAAGCTTTAGAATACCAAGTGTATGATTTGTAAAATTGGCAATAATCACTTATGTACTGTACATTTTTATTAGTTATAGTTTAAGTCAAGAGGCATTTTTTCAATGTCATGGCATATCATCTAAAATGACTCTTCATTTTAGCATTATTTTACAGATAAAACACTAAACGTACTTTCTAAGTTTGTTTGCTGCTTGAAAAACGTAAGGAAAAATAAAATTTTTGAATTTAGTCATAACCTCAAGTGGTATATTATACGCATTAGTTTTGAGTGAGTATTATTACTGTAGGTAGTTATGATACATGTAGGTAGTTATGATACATTTGGCATTTTTTTTTAAATATTGCTTCTGTTCTGTATATTTTTGTTTTCTCATGGAAGCTCAAACGTTATTTGAAACTTCAAAATAGCAACTGAATAAAATTTTCAAACTGGCCTTGATGCCCTGAAAAACTTAGTAACATTCAAGGCCAAACTGGCCTTGCCTTTATTTTTCCCAAATTTGAGGCCTGTATTCAGAGGCTCTGCAGCAGTATATTTTGTGTCTGCGAGGATGCAGAATTGGGATAATAATTCACACATAATATCATAAAAGTTTACATTTAGGCTTCGTTTCATTTTATGCGGCTATATTATGATGATCGGCATCAAACGAATGTTAATCGTGTCATTAAATGTTATTTCCAAATAAATGTACGATTTCCAAATTAATGCAGGAAACTTTGTTCCCTTGTTAATGTTTTTAGCTAATAAAAATAGAAAAAATTGGTCAAATTAACCTGCTGCAAGTCAAATGCGTTTTTCGCGTGATGAATTTCACATGCCATAATGAAACAAGCTGCCGCTTATTGTAAGGGTATTATATTTCGAATAACAGCATTCATTGCACATTCAAGCCGATATTGTGAAGCATAATTAATGTTTGAAGACTTCGGAAGTATGCCATGGTGGAAAAGACCGAGTAAACTATATGTGCTATAATGAATTTGAAATTCACAAGCAATTTTTCATTGAAAATAAGAAACAATCAACAATTTATACTGAACAATCGCAACATAGCGCACTATAACAAGCTTTTATTTATGAGCAGTTCAAAGGTCAGCTGTCACAAATGATACAATACTTATTGCAATATAAAGAGTCAATTATTACATCAAAACTGAATAGTTTACAGACTTCTTTGCATTGTATATTCTAAAATAATCCTGTCACTCATATATACTATATTTTGGTTTGAAGCAAACGCCTGAATTCACTAAAATACTCAGACAAGGCCCGCAAATTCTAATAGACGCATTACTGACAGATCGCGTGTGCCCGCTCACACAAAATATCATCCATTATTATGCCTGAGCAGGGTTTTTGCAAGAAAATGATATACAATTAGACTAAAACCTAGAACTTAACTAGACTTAACCAGTTACATACTTTCTAAGAAATTTTAGCACATCGTGCAGTTTTCATAATTTTTAATAATTGCATACTGTTAATTCAAACCCTGCTGTAGATCATAGTATGTTAACCATTAAATGCCAGCGCTGTCTCCTTGACAAGTAAAATTGTCTGGCATTAGACGGAGTAGGGTGGCATATCAGGGTGCCATGCGACTCGATGGGTTAACTAGACAACATGGGCATGCAGATAGGCCAGTTAATCCATCAATGCCAGCTAGCACTCTCCTCTTGACGAGATTAATCGTCTGGCATTAGACAGAGCAAAATAATAAGTAGGGTGCAATGCAACTCAGTGGGTTAATATACTAAATTCAACAGACCTTATGCATATATAATGATGTCACAAGGCTTTGATGCCTGTGAGGAATGCTGATCTTACTAGTCATTGCCCAGAAAAATTAAACAATTCAAAATGGCCACTGTTGAAATTTTCCCAGGCGATGACTATTAAGACCAATTAAGGTCTATTGGTTTATTAATAGAACACATTTTGTTTCTGTTAGCAGAGTAGTAACTTTATTTGATTTTTGGATTATTCGATTTTTTGATTTTACAATCCATGTTTCTGAGGGGATCCAAAATTTTCAAAGATGGGGCCATATTTCCTGGGGAGTTTGGCCCAAGGGGGCCACATTTTATGTGACACTGGGAGCTGCAGCCCTGGGCCAAACCCCACACCCTGGAAATGTTTATTGGAATATTGCTATTTTCCGGCTAATTGTGTAATCTGAGTGGTACTGGTACTATAAAGTAGCTTGAAGCACAACATCAATAAACAAAGTGCAATCAGTGATTAGTGTCATTCATCAGATATCTAGCACTGTGGAAATAAGATTTTTTACAAACCACGAGTAATTGTGCATGTTAAACTGCTGAATTCCATCTAATTACATTGGTCAGGTAACAAAATTTGCCAAAGATAAAAAGTACGAAATTACTTGTATTATTATTAGCATGACAAAATTACTGGATGCTGGATTGGTTGAGGAGTACAATTATTTCATTAATTGTACTGCAGTACAATTAATGATTTTCCCAAAACAAACAAAATGGCGGAAAGGCATTATAAACACAAGCTTGAAATGAAATTGCCGTGGAGGAACTAGATGAAAAAACGAACAAAAGCACCAAATTTTGCTTGAACAAAAGAACCAAATGAAAATACAAACCAAAGTACCAAATTTTGGTTGAAAGTCTGGCAAGACTGGGCTTTGGCGAGAGAATATGATGTTGACAGAGAAGTATCCAATTTTGTCATATGCTAATAATAAACTAGTAATCATGCAATGTAGCTTGTACAATTAGGGATTAAGGCCTTTTGCTAAACGATGTGATTTAGACAATTTAATTGCAATTAACTTTGTCTGAAATTCGACACAAATTCGTCGCAGAGTTATTCGTCGCAGAGTTATACTTCGAATTTACGTCACAAAAATTCACTGTGAAAAAAATGCTGCTTGCGCTGCCGAGGGAGCCTGGAAACTATAAACATGGCACCGATGAATCGTTCTGCTGTCCTATCATATGTTTATACAAAATAATGCTTATGAAACGAAAAAGAAGGCATTTAAGGTGGAATTTATTGCTTCTGTACCTTAAGAAAAGGGCATTAATCATAAATATTTGTTATCTGTCTTACTGACAAGGAGCGTGGCCGAACTAGCTAGAAAACCTAGAATTCGAAGTTGTCGTCATTTGACAAGAAACCCTGGATGGTGGGGAAATGTCTGGCAAAATTACTCTAGTAGTAGGTTTAAGTTAACGTTCAGAGTATCTAGAGAAACATTTGGTTTTATTCTTGAGCAAATACGGCCCAAACTGGAGCAAAAGACTGTAGTAGAGGAGCCTATATCTCCTGAATTCCGTTTGGCAATCTGCTTGTATCATTTAGGGAGAGGCGATTACCCTTATACAATTAATGAAATGACTGGTTATGGTGTAAGTACTATAAGACAGGTTGTTATCGAATTTGCGAAGCGATAATTGAAAGATTGTGGAAGGAATCAGTTTCTCATCACTTTCCAAAAACAGTGGAAGAATTTAAAGAAAAAATGCTAGACACTGAACAATTATGGCAATTTCCATGCTGCTGGGCAGCAATAGACGGTTGCCATTTACCTATCAGTTGCCCCCCCCCCCTGGCCGCGAACAAGCAAAAAAGGAATACCACAACTTTAAAAATTTTTACTCAATAGTTCTTATGGCCCTCATCGATGCCAAATATAGATTTATATGGGCAAATGCAGGTTTTCCAGGTAACTCTCATGATTCTGTTATACTTCAAGCTACAGAACTTTGGCAGAAAATAACTAGTGGAGAAACAATCCCTCTGATATCCAAGAAAATTGGACAATCTGATGTTCCCCCATTGATAGTTGGTGATTCAGCATTTCCTTTTACTATGAATTTAATGAAACCATACATCAGAGGCATTTGAATGAAAAGCAGAGATATTACAACTATTGGTTGAGTTGATCCAGAATGGTTACAGAATGCGCATATGGATAGCTATAGAGTAGGTGGAGGGTGCTTTACAAGAAGTGTGAATGTAGTAAAGAGACTGTTAAAGTGTTTGCTTTAGCATGTGTTATTCTTCACAACATATGCATTGATAAAGGTGATGCTTTATCTCCTCAGCTGAATCTCACCGTTGATCCCACTTCGCAGAAACAAAGAGACAGAGACACAGTCAGAAAATTGTTGCAAATGAGAAATTGTCCAAAGGTCAAGAATACTAGCAGAAAGGCTAACGCAATTTGTGATGATATTATGGAATACCTTTGGAGTGAAAGGAAGAATGTGCAGTGAATTAACATGTTTTCCTGTCATTATGTTCTCATAATTAAAGTTTACACTGTATATAATCTGTCTTAAGGCCTCTGCAGACTAGAAAATAACTGTCAATAACTAAATTTATAGTCTGTGGAGGTCCCAACATGTTAAAAATGTTTATAAGACATTCTGGTAGTTGAATACGTAATAAGGGAATTAGGGAAACCAGCTGTTCGTGTTTGGTTAAGTGTGTTTTAAAATTAATATATGACATAGCAAGTTTGAAATTGTGTTGAATTATTTCAAGGGGTTGTAAAATTCAATAGAATGTGATATTGTACAATAAAAGTATATTTGAACATGATAGACATTGTACGACACCTGTTCATATCTCAATCTGGTACCCAGTGTTGTTTGCTGGTATAAGGTTGTTTATATTTTTGTTTAGGATAAGATAATGAATGTATTATTAATTAATACAATAAAGTAAGCAGAATCTTTTCAATCTATCATCCATTCCCCTAACATAGCTTCAACTTCAAGTGCCTATCCAAATAAAAATGACCACACCTTGTAAAGACACCATTTATCCACTACTGTTCTAACAAAGATACAGTTTCATTAACTAACAAGTGGGTCATTAAGAACAAAAATGAAATCAAAGTGATTATATATTCTTCAGTTCATGCCGCAAAAAAATCAACTAAAAAATAAACATCGACATCAATGTTCAGTTATTAGGTTCATTTTAGTTAATTTGGTCCAGGTGGTTGCTGATAATTCATGAATGGCAAGCACTCATGAAAGTTGTTCTCATGAGTTGAGGGGTTTTCTTGGCCCAAATTCTGCTGAGGTAAGGTGTTGGGTATGAAATGTTGCATTGATGCCATACCATGCATATGCCCACTATCAAACTGGCTATGTCCTGGTACATAACCAGATGCAGGGTGTCTATATATGGCCAAGATTGTGCAGCCTGATTTGATGATACTTGCTGTTGTAATTAGTTCCCATTAATTGCTGAAATCTGAGGTCTTGTTCTCTTGCTTGCTTCATATCATCTCTCATAAGCGCAAGGATATATTTTGTGGAGTCATTTTCTATTGCGTTTTTCATTACTTCCATGGTTCCAGCTATAGCCTCATTTAAATCTTTTTGCTTTTCTTTTGCACTTCTCTTTATGGGTACAAACATGGGCGGTGTAGGCTCCCTAGAAAGACTAGAAGATTCTTCAGATCCACTAGGACCACTAATACTTTCATTTAATGAATCTGGTTCAATGGCCTGTTCAGGTTGGCATGAGTCGCAGGATTTTATCATGGGGTATAGGAGCCCAAACCATTGTCCATATCCCTTTTCATCCTGTATTCTTTTTATGCCAGACTTAGTTGCGATGGTGAGACTGATCCTTTTGCATGTTAGTAACACACCACTTGAATTTCGTCCTCATCTGCTCAACAATTAATGGAAAGGGTGAAGATGGGCTATACTGTGAGTACCGTTCATTAAGGCGATTCAGAATTTTGCTGTACACTTCTGTGTTCTTCTGCTTTTTAACATTTGTGAAGATCAGTTTCCTTGTTAAGTTTTCATCATTGACTATTATGTCGACCATATATCAATATTTGATTCTTTCCATATTGCCTTTCTGCCGGCCACTTTCTTGTTTTTTTCCTCTTTTTTTCTTAGGTGACTTCCATGAATGGTCTAGTGGTACATCAGAACTTTTACTTTCGTCACTGCTGGTGTTTTCAGAATGTTCATCTGATTCTGTTTGTGGTTTCTTGTTTCGCTGTTCTTGGTAATCCGAAATAACTTCATCTGCACAGCTTTTGCAATAACCTACACTTTGCTGGGCGATCCAACCAGCAGTAGATTCATCCAACTCAGCAAGACTGCATCCAACTCGATTACATACAAACACAGAACAGTTTATACAATTGTATTTATTTGCTGTTTTACAAGAAACACACTGTCCGTCCGCCATATTGTTTATGAACAAAATTTATTTCGTGCGTGAAGTATATATCAGACATTCTTATTGGCTGAGTAAACGTTAACATAATTTATAATAATTATGCATTAAATTGTCTCAATTAAATTCGTCTATTATTCGTTGTTTAACTTGGAGATGCATTTCTGTTGCATTATCCGTCTGAGCCAGACGGATAATGCAAGTGAGACTAATTTAATAGAGTTATACATCGCATTTGTGTCAAATTTAATTGATGAATTAAATTCGACACAATTTTTTTCATATTTTCTTTTTTGTCTCGTTTTATGTATGCAAATGATCTTACATCATGTCACACATGCATAATGACTTACAATTGAAAGCTTTTTATCTTGGTTATCATCAAATGAAAACACTTTGTTTGTATTGGCTTTGAATGAATAAACATCAAATATGCGCAACTTTTGGTGTTTTCAGTTGATAATAGTAATTATTATATATCAATAGTCAAAGTCGCATTTTTCTAGTGTTTATTGGTTGAGAGCATATCATGTGAGAGTGACGAAATTAGGCTGTCAACTGGCGAATAACAAAAAAAATCACATGCACCATTATGTGAAGATGCGACCTTTGGACATGCCTAGTACGTAATTAAAGTTTCACTTTAAGTAACTGCAGTGTAGCCAGTGTTTAATATAACATTTTAACAATAAAATATTTCATGTATTTACGTTCATTTGTTCTTTAATTTGTTGTTTCTTCGACTATTGATATATAATAAAACACTTATTTACTGAGACCTCGGGAAAGCAGTGTGTTTTGTGGACCCTCGACCGTCGAAGTTTCCCTCGGCTTCGCCCCGGGATACATCGATGGTCTCGGGTCCACAAAACACACTGTTTCCCTCGGTCTCAGTAAATAAGTGATAAATGTATACTCTTTCTATGGTAACAATGTAACATAAATCGTGCATGTGTGGCACAAAGACACTTTCTCACATGGTCTAATGCTTTAGCTAGAGCTGTGTGAACTCTGAAAGTGGTGCATTTCCCTGTGCATAATACAAATTTTGTAGGGCTATATTTCCTCATTTTATAACATTTTGCAACCAAACTTTGCAATTTTACTAATTTTAGCATATTCTTAGGAATATCGCCCCCATTTAGGAAATTTGCCCACTCGTATAACAACACGCTGGGGTGAAGGCAACCAAGTTCAAATTTGGCAAATGTGTTACTGTCTACTGTTAATAATAACAATAATAAACATAATTCTTCTGCAAACATGATGGTAAATGTATAGCTTATCCTCAGCTGATGTGGTGGTATAGTAGCTACTAAATACCATAAACATGATCTATATATAAGATTTACCAAACCAATTCAATTATTTTCAATCAATGTCAATGAATAATCTTGTAATACTGCATCGGTAGAGACAAGTAGATTTTTAGTGCTCTTTATATGCATGTGTCAGTTAAATGAAAAAGTTTTTGACAATACCAATAATTAAAATAACCACCACGGTGATTATTCTGGTGATTACTTTTTAACAATAAGTTTAAGGGATTAACACTGAAAATGCAAAATATGCATGGTGTGCTGTGAAACGTCATAAGTCCTATTGATATAAGCCTTTTCGATACATGTAATAGATGATTCCAGCTATAGACTAAATTTTTATCTAGGCAAGAACAAAATCCATCACCACAGCTAGAAAGAGCATGTTAAAATTAGTAAAATCAGGGTACGAATTAACGTTGGGAAAGTGCATCGCGATTGTCATTTCCCCGGCTCCCTATGACATTGGAAATTCCAATCTCAAATTTCTCAACAATGATCAATATTAAACAAAATAATGATTAATGGCGGCAATATTTACGTTTGTTCTGACAAAAACCTCAAAATGTTGAATTCCGATGAACCTAATTTCTAGAACATTTCAAATTGTATACGTTATAATATAAAAACATTTACAGCTAATATAATACAAGTTTACTAGAAGTTTAATCTAGATTTTAGAGTCAGAAATCGGTCTCATCGTCAGAGTCTAGATCACCGTTTTCTAAATCAGACATAGTCAGTTCCGTGATGTCAATCACATCTCCTTTCGACAAGATTGTTTTGCGTTTTTTAGGATAGCTATGACTAGAACAATTCAGTCGTCTAATTTTGGCATTGAACCATGATTCAATCGCTGCGTCTGGGCAGAAATCATCCATCTAGTTACCAACGCATTCCTGGCTGATTCTGAGGTTCGCTTCCAGTCGATCTCTGCCAAGTCGATTACGCCAATCTGTCTTCACTCTTCCCATAGTGCTAAACATTTGTTCGAGCTTTGCATTGGAAAATGGAGTTATAAGCAATAACTCGATAATATGCAGCACATTTGCGCACTCTTTCCGAAATTCCTCCGAGGTAAGAACTTTAGACCAGACATCCAGGTAACTGCTGTTAGCATGTATCAAATGACAAAGTCGATTCTTCAGTATATCCCATTCTGCAGGAATCTCTGCTATATTACAAAGATTACGCTCTAATAACGGCGTGAAATGCTTGATCAGTTCAGTCATGCTCGAATCTCCATAAGATAGAAGCTGAGTTACATCAGTTGGCCATTTGGTGAAGTCGAGAATATCTACCAAATTTTTGAACACAGGACAGATGGATAAACTTTCAAACCGACCGCTAACGGCATCAGAAAGAGCAGCAATCGTCGATCGGTAAATATCCCTTACCGTGCGTTCACTTGCTTCGAAATTCTTCAGCTTTCTTCCTTGGTAAACGTACAAGTTATCATCTTTGAATGTAACTTCACTTCTAAATTTGTTATAGTAAGTGAGGCAAGATTTTTCCGCTTGGTTCAGTTCGTTGTGATCTAGCGCTTCTAGGACATGTCCTTGTAATTTAACCATTGTCCATTTGAATTCTTGTATTCGACGAACTGCTTTCACGGGGTCGTGTTGTTCCTTTTGCTCACTGAGAGACATTCTAGACAAAATAGATAAGACATCAAGATAAATAGCCATGGATATTGGGTATTTTCCATGCTCCCACTTGTTAAGATAACCTTTGAACTGTTCACGCTTTTCAGCTTGACTATCAGTTTTTGACTATCAGTTTTCGCAAGTTCTTCAAGATGCATCATATATGCTCCATAGTGCTTTAAAACAATCTTTATGGCGTTATAACGATGTCCAATCCATCAAGTACCTGATGCCTTAACAGGTCTTGGCAGTTTTTCTCCCAATGCAGCACCAAGCTCCTTCAGCGCTTTCAATCTTTTGGAACTGTTTCGATAAATCTTGTAGAAGAACGCAAGCATTTGGTCAATTTCTTCAAAAACTGAGTTTCCAAATGCGTCCTTTGCAGCCAGCTCGATCCTGTGATTGAAGCAATGTATGGCAGTTAACCAGGGAGATTCCCGCTTCAAAAGTGCTGCAACACCTCTATGGACTCCCAGGTTGACGGAAGCTCCATCCACATTCAGTCCATGTAAATGGGATGAATAATCTACTATGCCTATGCGATGAAATGCTTCCTTAATACACTCGACCAAATGTGTGGCATCCGCAACTGCAGGGTTTTCGATGCTAAGGAATTTCATATTGACTTGTCCATCATCATTGAGGAACATAACGTAAATAAGTTCTTGCTCAGTTACACTTGTGTCCGTACTGCCATCAGTCAAAATGGATTAATACCTGGCTTTCACAAGAATTTCTTTCAGGGGAGCTTTAAATTGTTCTGCTATAAAGTCAATAAAATTTGCTGCAGCTTGAGGAGTGCGGTATCCCCTTTGTTTGTCAATTCCGTTTTTTTCTTGCAGTGCCAGCAAATCGGGGTAGTCCTTAAATGGCTTCTCCTTCTTGGCAAGGTAATAGGCTGTGTTGAACCGCATTTTCAAGACTTTTTTTGAGTGCTCTTCCATCTTTGTTATTGACTTCCCAATTGGAGTGGTTTTCATTACATTTTCGGTATATCGTTCGGAGCCAGGATGTTTTTTCATTGCTATATCAACAGCATGCTTGTGCATATCAGTGTTGTCATGCTTTTTCACAGAATCAGAGGTCGCGCTTTTAGAGCCTTCGACCCATGTACGACTGTAGTTTTTCAACCCTTGGAGCCGATCGTCGTATTCTTTACACGTCGAACATCGAATATTTCCAGCATTTCCACCAGGTTGTACATCCCATTTGAGTTTAATGTTGTATTCTTTCTCCCAGTTTTTCACCGTTTTAAGTTTAGGCATGTCTTCTATGTCACTATATGTGTGAATTTCAAAAGGTTTCTCTGCCTTCTATACTTCCCCCCAAGATGTATAGGATCAAAATTTTTGAATTATGATTGGTTTATTTAATTGCAATAACAGTCGGACCTCTGCGAAGACAGCAATACAAATTATTATCACTAATTTATACCGATTTTGATCTCGGTGAAAAGTGGATAAATAATATACTAGGTATCTTGACTACATGGTTTAAATAAACAGTTCCTCGCACTCTATTCGATTTTATGACTTGTTCAAACTGCAGTTTCTGCCAAAATTATTGGAAAAAAGTGATGACTTGACAAACAATTATTACGTATCGCGTTTTTTAAAGTTTTTGCACTTTTTTGTATCGCATATCTTCAAAAATGCATTGCGATTCGCGAATCGCGACATGTTAATTCGTACCCTGTAAAATTGAAAAAAATTTGCCCTGGGAAATTTGCAAATTTTGTATTAATTTGTATTACATGCAGAAAAATGCACCACATTTGGGCCGAAAGTGGTGCATTTTTCTGTGTGTAATACAAATTAATACAAAATTTGCAAATTTTGTAGGGCTACATTTGTTCATTTTATAACATTTTGCATCCAAACTTTGCAATTTTACTAATTTTAGCATGTTCTTTCTAGCTGATGGATTTTAGTTCTTGCCTAGATCAAAATTTAGTCTATAGCTGGAATCACCTATTGTAAATTTGTACTATTCTTAACAATTTTGAATTGATACTGATTTCAAATGACTAAAGCCATGTAATAATTATCACATGCAAAAAATTTTTAACAGAGGAAGAAAATCCTAAAGGAAAGGTGATGTTTCTAAAGGGGGCGAATTTCCTAAAGGGCGGCGAATTTCCTAAAGGGGGCGAATTTCCTAGGAATTTTGCCCCCCGGGGGCTATATTACTAGGAATTTCACTTTCTTGTGGGTCAAAATTGAAGTTGTGCAACATTCCTGGGACACTGGCTCCAGCAGTCAAAACTCTGGCAAATTCATATTTAAAAGTAGGAGGCGAACGTATTTCAGTGTAATTTCAGAATTTATTTTATTCCTTTTCGAGCTTTCTCCTTTACTTATCAAATATACATGCTTTAGTGCTTGTTTAAACAATGTTTTGTAGAAAGTAAAACTGTATGGCAGCGTGGTATTTCCGTCCAAAATACATCGGAGTCAGCAGATTTTTGTATCAAAAGTGATAGCAATGTGCTTGCAGAATTTTCGTAGCTATGAATCAGATCGGAGCAAGTAATTAAACTTTATATTAACTTCAAATCATTCAACTTAATTTTTGCATCACCAAAAGTTCATTGAAATATGAAATAATTTTTCATAATTTTGTCTGCTGGAGTTTCCAGCTCCAGCTCCAACCTCGTTCCCAGGGTATTTGCTCTTGGGAAGCAAAGACCCTGGTGGATCCTGGTCATGTGATCTGCTAACATCTAGCAGATTTTTAATTAGCGTTTTGTCAATCTGGGAAGGGTGGGAATGTAGTAGTTGACATTCGCCAGATGCATTAGTGTTGTATACTTCACTTTACCTGTTTAATAAACATGATTTATACTGTTCTAAATTCGTACTCATCATGACAAGATTTCCTGGTATACTGAATGTCATCAATAATAAGTGCTGTGGTACATTTCAAGCGAGAAGCTGGATCATATTTCACTTGCAAGGAAAACACTCCACATGCACCTGGCTTGCGAAGTTAAGCACGCATCAGATCGCCGTAGAAACATACGTATCTGATATCTTCTACACCGACTGATCGATCACACGGTATTTATAAATGAACTATATGATATGGTTGTTTATAGTTGAAATGTATCCTGTCTGATATTCAAAACAAAGGATTTATTTTATAACGGGATCCTTTGATTTCCCAAGTACTGAACATCGCCAACTGTGTATGTAAAACAATAGTGCTGTTTTGACTGTGAATTAAGCACAGGATTAAAACCCGTTATGTAAAATTCCTTTTATTTACATTGCTGAAACAGCTCAACGATCAAGAATGATATATGTCGAAGTACAGCTACAGTATACTGTTATCACATGCCAAGACTCCTTGGTGTGTGCGGTACAACTTGAATATCTAGGACGATATATGCACTAGACTAAATTATTTCATATTTCATATATTGCAGTAAACATTATAAATCTTATAAAGACCTTTCATTGGCATTGGTATTAATGCCCAATTATTATTTGAAGAATAATCCAGCTTAAAATCCAGCTTCTTTCGACTTGTATGCCGCTGTGAGTCATCAATATTTAAATCAACTTCAAAAACTCATTAATAATTCAGGAGGAAAACAAAGAAAAATCATAAGCGTGTCGTGGTTTTATATGTGATAAAAATCATGTTAATTTACATAAACTTTAGCTTTGATTTTCTCAGTTTAAACAAAACTTTATTTTAAAAATTACTTCGCCAATGAAGTTGTATAAGATGAGTCGTTTTTGAAGAACTTGTAGTTGTGTTTTAACACATATAAAACACTCCACTACGCGTCGCGTTTTATATTATATGTGATAAAACACTCCTACATGTGCTTTAAATAGTACTTTAAGTCTTTAATCTTTATCGTATACCCCTATACTGTGTCGTAACTGTAATTGAAATTTCAGAAGTTTCACCAAACGATACTGGAGGCAAACAACCTATCTATCAGTATCAATAGAAATAAAACTCATTAAGTAATTCTGAGCGAGACTTGGTGTGCATATACAGTTTATGAATTATGTATATATAATACAGGGTTCGAAATAACGGTTCGTGAATCATGAATCAATTTTCATTTTTCACGAACCCAATTTCATAGAAATTGATCAAAATCACGAATCAAAAGTCTCTTAAATTGATAAAAATATACAATAATAAATTCAGTTCTTTGTAAATGTGATGAAGGATAATATATTCTGAAGATATTGTTGTTAGATTGTACTTAAAAACGATTATAATTCCACCCAAAATTCTATTTCTTTGCGAGTTTGCGATGTATATTATATATTTGAAAATTGCAGTGCTTCCACTTTTTAACTTCCAATTAGAGAATATTCCTTGAAAATTCCTTAAAATTTCCTTAAAATAAAAAAATTAATTCACGAACCATTTTTTCAGAATTATTTCGAACCCTGTAATATATGTCCCTGATAAAACGTATGGACACTTTGTACCAGATATAATAACAAATACTTTGCTAAACCTTTTCGCCATGTTTTTGGATATCATTCCTTTGCATTCAAGGTGGGAGCATAGATTAAAGAATGAATAGATGGCCCACTCCTTTGATGTTTTTGACGCTGCCGCCTCGCACCGGAAATTGACGGCCGCCATGTTGCTGGCAAGTAGATTGCAGCAAGTATAATAGGGAAATGTATTGGCGAGAAGTGTATTTTCAGTATTAAAATGGAAAATTTTCGTGATCTTGTCTTTTATCGTATTTTCTGTGGATAGTATATTAAAGGGGAAGGTAAGAGGAGTGTATTTTTGTATTTATGAGATTAAGAACTGTATTTAAAGTGATTGAAATCGTTCGTAAGAGTGAGCTGAATGTGGACGCAAGATACGCATATAAAGTGCTAATGGAACTGTTCATGTAAGTGGATGATATGTTGGATATCTAAAAAAATGTCGTTAGATATAACTTTCCCGGACTATTTACGTTTATATTATGTTCTTTCTTGGAGTTATTTTTACACAATTTTGTGATAAAATCGTGTGCTATATGCAACAGTATAAACAATGACTCCTGACAAATACACCGTTCTGTTCAAATGGCAATAATTATAAAATCTTTTTAAAATATCAGTGTTAAATCTTGGTCTTGATATGTTTAATGTTGAACTGATGTTTTTTATATATGGTAAATAATAATCGTGGCCTTTACCACCTAGTTTCTCGAAAGTATATTTACATAAATGTTGTGGTTTATAAGTGGGTTACTTTGATGTATTTTCTGCTTTTTTTTTTAGATGCAAAGTTCCTGTTCCCAAACTTGATTGTATAATATATCCTCAGAAACAACTTCAGTATATATTCCACAGGAAATGTTAGGCAGTGTTGGAATGTGATGGATATGCAATTAAGGAGCTTCAGCAGCTCACCACCAACTGTTGTGGATTTTGTATAAACTCCATGTGTGGAAACACTGCATGTGTAATCCTCCAGAAGCATTGCTGCTGGTGTCCAAATTCTTCAACTCCAAAGTTTCTTTATACATTTTTTTTAAATAAGGGAACTATGTTGCATCTTTCTTTCAATGCATGATGTACTGCAGTTATCAGAGGCATACTGACTATGTCGATCCTGATGTAAAGAAACTTTGGAGTTGAAGAATTTGGATACCAGCAGCAATGCTTCTGGAGGATTACACATGCATTTGATTGATTGATTGACACCTTTATTTAAACAGGGTAGTCCAATCAGTAGTAAAAACTACTGCTATCAACTGGAGCCCTACTATTTAAAAAAAAAATACAATCTTTACGTGCTATATGACAATTAGGTATTAAAACAATATACTAGTAGTGTCATTCCGGGGCCCCACAGACAAAACTTCATGTTATACAAAATATAGTGTCTTCAGCCCTTCAGCCTCTTAGCCCTTCAGCCCCCTAGCCCACCCAGTCCCCAGGACCCCCCTGTCCCCAAGATCCTTCCAGGACTTTCCGGGATTTTCCCTGGACTTTCCCGGGAACTTATTTCCGGTACTTTTCCCAGAACTTATCCCCAAGACTTCCCCAAGACTTTCCCAAGATTTTTCCCAAGACTTTCCCAAGATTTATCCAAAACTTTTCCGAGATTTTCCCCAAGTCTTTCTAAAAATTCGTCCCCAAGACTTTCCCATGATTTTTTTTTTTTCCGGGGATTCATTCCTCGAAAAAAACCTTTTTCAAGATTTATGAAAAATCATAAGTTTGTGAAAAAAATTTTTTTCCATCTTATATAAATAAAAAAAAGTATAAAGAAAAAGATCGTAAAAATCTAGGGTTGCTACTTGCCATTTTTTTTTCCATAGTCGTTCGGAGTATGGAAAAAACCGGCGAAAGTTGAAAGAATCCACAAGTATTTATGTAGGTAGAAAAAGTATACAATAAAATGGCAAGGTACGAATTGGTTCAGAAACTGATGGGTCCAAATATTGGATATTATACGACACCGACGGATAAAGGAATCATGACGAGTCTTTTTATCCGCGGTAGGATAAAAATTGTACGTCAGATTATAAGAGAAATAAAAAGGGAAGGATTTACACTGGTAAGAAATGAAATAACTCCGACTTTTCACCATATGGTTTTACATGTTTTGGGAGGTACGAGACCGGTATCACACAACGTAAATTTTCACTACGTGGATTTTATCGGAGTGAAGGGTGATTTTTCTCACCTTATTTCGTACGAAGAAACGTTTTTGAAGAAACTGGTAAAAATGAAAGAATCGGATCGTCCCATTCTTCCGGGGGTGGAAACGATTGTGTTCAGGAAATTAGCACGTTCGCTTGGTTACATAGATGTTTGATTTTTTTCCTGCTGGAAAAAAATAATTTCCCGTAACACCTTATATAAATAAAAAGAGTATAAGAAAACAACGATCGTAGAAATCCGGAACCGAAAGCCGTTACTTGCCATTTTTCCATACTCGTTCGGAGTATGGAAAAATCTTTTTTTTTTCTATTTATATGAATATGTAAGTATAATATAAAAATGGCAAGTAATTATCCGGATTTCTACGATCGACCGCGAGTAGAAAATATCCGATCGGTTCGCGAGGAAATGAACGATCCTCCTTTTGTTGTACAAGAACAGCAAAATTTTAGAAAGAGTATTAAATCTACAGCGAAAGAATTTGAGGATCGTCGAAAACAACGTAGGAAGGAAGAGAAGCGATGGAAACCGACCAAAAGAGCGACGGCACAGAAACTTCGCGACGAAGCAAAATGGGAAAGCCACATCGAGAAAGAGGAAAAAAGACTTCGTAAGGAAGTATCTCATTGGAAATCCGAAGCACAGAAATGGAAGAAGGAGACACAGAGACTTTGTAAAAATGAAAGGGCACGTCAAAAATATGCGGAAGTTCGTTATCGCAAATTAATGTCGGGCGAGATGAGAATTCGCGGCGAAGATTTTCAACCCGTTTTACAACAACATGCATTTCGAAGACGTGCCCGGGTGTATACGATCACACCGAATAAGATATACGATCCACCTTATTTTTTAGATATGACCGGCCGTCACGTTTGTGATCTCGTAGATTCGATCGACAGATCGAAAAAAGTACGGGTGACTTTAGTTTGTATCATGAAGCAAAAGAATGAGATCACGGGGGAAGTAACGAGGGATCTGAGTCATTTTCATTCGAGGACTTACGCAATTACGGGACAAAGTTTAAGGGATGAAATTTGGGATGAGATGCGTGAAAAGATTTTGGAATCTTTTGCAAAATATCAGAAAAACGGTAGTAAATGGGTGTTGGACAAAATAGTTCGGTTAGAGATCGAGATTGATGAATACGATCCAGCCCGAGGTTCTGGATTTGTTAAAATGCCAGAAGGATATACGAAAAATAAGGGAATCATCAACATGCAAAATACCGACGACGAATGTTTTAAATGGGCAGTGACGCGTGCATTGAATCCTGTAAGGGGTCATCCCGAACGAATTACAAAAATTCTTCGTCTTCAAACGGAGAAATTAAACTGGAACGGTATAAATTTCCCGACTGGGAAAAAGGATGTTATAAAGTTTGAAAGACAGAATCCTGGTGTTCACATTAATGTTTTTGCATTCGACGAGGATTTAAAAATTTATCCGTGGTATATTTCGGGAAGTCCGGATTCGATCAATTTGGTATTATGGAACGAACATTTTGGTGTCGTTACGGATCTGTCAAATGGGAAAGCAGTTGAGTAAACACAAGGAAAAGAAACACATCTGTAACAGTTGTTTGAATCCTTTTGGATCTGTGAAATTATTGGAAAAACACCGAGAGTTGTGTCTGGATCACGAAGCGCAGACATGTATATATCCGAATAAGGATAAGGAAAAGATATAGTATTTTAAAATTTAAAAATCATCATCGGATTCACAGCGTTCCATTTGTAGTATATGCGGATACGGAATCTTTCCTGGAACCGCTTTCTTACGACGTGAAAGAAGATCTGAATTATTCGAGTACGAAAAGAACACAGGAACATAAAGCGTGTAGTTTTGCATATCTGATCAAATGTTTCGACGACAAGATCTATCCACCGAAATACGTAAGTTACACACAACAACACGAAGACGAAGACGTGATGGTAAAATTCTACGAGTTGTTGGAAAAGGATACGAAAGAAATTTACGAAAGATTTAAGACTCCCGTTCCGGTTAAAATGAAACCGGATGACAACGAGGATTTCGAAACATCCGAGTCGTGTTACGCATGCAACGGAAGGTTTACGAAAGACAATTACAAGACAAGAGATCATTGTCATTACACGGGTATGTATCGCGGCGCGGCATGTAACCGATGTAATTTAACGATGAAAAATCCAAGATTCACACCGGTCTTTTTTCATAATCTGGCCGGTTACGATGCACATCACGTCGTCAAATGTTTTGGTGGAAGCGAAGGCGATGTCAACTGTGCGATAGCACAGACATCGGAAAAGTATATTTCATTTACGAAAAAAGTAGCGGTCGATACATTTGTGAATAAAAAAGGTGAGACGAAAACTAAATTTCATGACTTGCGATTTTTAGATTCGTACAAATTCTTATCGTCCTCGTTAGGAACTCTTGCGGAAGATTTGGAAAAAGATGACTTTAAATTAACGGATGGAATGATGGGAAATTATGCGTCGGATCAACGTCGAATGTTAAAACGGAAAGGTGTTTATCCGTACGAATGGATGGATGATTTCGCGAAATTTTCCGAACCGTCTCTTCCACCGCAAAAAGAATTTTACAGTAGTTTGACCGATGAAGATATTACGGACGAAGATTACGAACATGCGAAAAAAAGTCTGGAAGTCGTTCGATATGAAATCCATGCGTGAATATCACAATCTTTATTTGAAAGTAGACGTGTTATTACTGGCAGACATCATGGAAAGATTTCGTGAGATTTGTATGGAGAATTACGAATTGGATCCTGCATGGTATTATACGTCACCGGGATTAGCATGGGATGCATGTTTGAAAATGACACGTATCCGTTTGGATTTAATTTCCGATCCGATCATGTTTAATTTTATCGAAAAGGCAAAACGTGGTGGGATCTGTATGATCAGTAAGAGATATGCCATTGTCAATAATAAGTATGCGAAAAATTTTAATCCGAAAGAGAAAAGTACATTTTTACCCTACTGGGATGCAAACAACTTGTACGGATGGGCCATGTGTGAAAAACTTCCGTACGGGAATTTTGAATGGATGAATTTAGATCGGTTGAAAAATTGGAACAATCTTCCGGATGGAAAAGGTTGTTACGTCGAAGTGGATTTAAAATATCCGAAAGAATTACACGATCTGCACAGCAACTATCTGCTGGCCCCGGAACGTCTTCGAATAGGAAAGGTTGATAAACTCGTTCCGAATTTAAACGATAAGAAAAAGTATATCGTTCATCATACGACGTTAAAAAAATATGTGGAATTAGGATTGATCGTGACAAAAATCCATCACGGTCTGATGTTTTCGGAAAGGGCATGGATGTCAGATTATATTCGGTTGAATACCGACTTGCGTAAAAAAGCCAAGTCTGATTTTGAAAGTAATTTTTTCAAACTGATGAACAATTCGGTGTTTGGAAAGACGATGGAAAATGTTCGCGATCGTATCAACGTGAAGCTCGTTAACGATGAAAAGAAGTGGAATAAATTAGTGAAAAAAAGTTATTACATCTCAACAGACATATATACCGAGCACTTGGCGTTGGTTCACATGCGAAGGACGACCGTTCGTTTGGATAAACCTATTTACGTAGGTGTCGCCATCCTGGATATCAGCAAGACGTTGATGTACGACTTTCACTACAATTACGTGAAGAAAAAATACGGAGAAAAAGCAGAACTTCTTTTCACGGATACGGATTCACTTCACTATGAGATAACGACCGACGATCTTTTCAAAGATATTACACCTGACATTCGTCAGAAATTTGACACGAGTAATTTTCCAAAATCTCATCCGTCTGGAATTCCGTGTGGAATCAACAAGAAAGTCATCGGTATGATGAAATCCGAAACGGGTGAGGGACAGATTAAAGAATTTATAGGATTACGTCCAAAATCATATTCGACACTCGACGACGATGGAAAAGTGATTAAAAAATGCAAGGGAGTTAAAAAATGTGTCGTGAAAAAAGATCTGTCGCATCAGCATTATAAAGATGTTCTATTCGGTGAAATAGAAAGACGTGTAGGCATGACGACACTTCGTAGTCATTATCATAACATTTATACCGAACGTCTAGTAAAAACGGCACTTTCGGCCAGGGATGACAAGCGGTATATTCTAGACGATAAAATTCATATGTTGGCATTGGGTCATAAAGACATTCCCGAAAAAGAACGTACGTTACCGAAGATCGACTTGGAATATCATGGATCTTGTGAATTTCCTTCTGTCCAGGAATTGGAAGAACTGAGAAAGTCGGAGGAACCGGTGGAAAAAGAAGTACCTGTCGAAAAGAAAAGAGAACTTCAGGTTTTCAGTATTCCTGCAACGACGGACGGAATAGTGAATTTTGCACGCGAGAGAGTCACACAAAAAGCATCGGAAGGAAACTGTAGTATATCTTAGTGTTTTCTGTAAGACCTTACAAGTCAATCTTGGTAACAACTTTCAACAAAATTCAAGACTGTTCTTAAATTTCTTACAAGTAAGTCTTGGTAAGAACTTTAAACAAGATCCAAGACCGTTCTTAGATTTCTTACAAGTCAGTCTTGATAGCAACTTTCAACAAAATTTAAGACCGTTCTCAAATTTCTGACGAGTCAATCTTGGTAACAACTTTAAACAAAATTTAAGACTGACTTGAAAGATCTTACAAGTAAAATTCTAGTAAATTTCAAGTCTGTCCTACAGTTTCTTTCAAATATTTTTTTAAAAAAATTTTTTTCATACAATAAAGAAAATGACAGGACCGGCAAATAACTTGCGTCTGGTAGAACTACCGGGTGGATTTACCGAAAAAGTATCTACAGTACTAGATCAACAACTTAAGGCAGCAAGGGATCAGGGAGCAAGAGACTGTGAAGAACAAGTGATGAAATGTTTGAATGAAACTAATTTTTATTCTTTACTGGGAATTGGGTTAGTAACATTGTTTTTTTGGTGGAAAGAGAAAGAGGAAGAGGAAGAGGAAGAGGAAAAGAAAAAAGGTTTTCCAGGACCAACTTTTAATTTCATACAGATCAATCTTGGTCATGATTCCAGCAAGACTAAAGACTGATTTTAAGAATCTCACGAGTAAAATTCTAGTAATTTTCAAGTCTGTCCTACAGCTTCTTCCAGGTAAAAAATTATAAAAAGTATTTTCATACAATAAAGAAAATGACTGAAGTAAATTCAGAATCGGTGACCAAACCTTTAGATCCATCGAAAAAAGTCAAGGATCCACGTCGTGTCGAAGCGGGAAAAAGACTGGCAAAAATAAGTCAACAGGCTAAAGCTGCGAAAAAAGCAAGGGCCGAAGAAAATCTAAAAGCCGGAGTTCGCGAAAGTTGTATGACGGAAAATGATGGAGGATGGATTTCCGTCGATAAATTATGTTTGGTTTTAGGCGTGGGAATCGGGTTGGGATCGTTGTATCTGACGTGGCGACGTGATGAAAAAAATCCTGCGAAACAAGTGGATGAGATTGTAGGTGATAATGTGAACGGTGATGTGGAAAAAGATCCGCCGAAAGAACCGTTCGACGACTTGTTTGATTGAAATGGGAAAATACAGAATGTCTGGATTCCAGACATTTTAAACTGTTCCTACACCGATTCGGTGTAGGAGCGATGTTCACAACTATTTATAAGAAACTCTATACGATAATAAAGGAGAATGAGGTTAGAGATTTTAGAAAATTCAGCGATCATCGGGAATAATAAGATCAGAACGCTTATTCCAAAAGATGGTGGGAAGATATACTTTATGGCAAAAGAGGTTGCATCTGCACTCGGATATAAGAACACCGTTGATGCAGTTGCCAGACACACCGACGAAAGGTCGAGAAATATACTCAGAAATATACGAGCAGCGGGAAACACGCTCCTTCCCTCAATGCATCCCGATACAGTTTTTATTACCGAATCTGGTATCTATGAACTTGTATTCGGTTCAAAATTACCCACTGCTAGGGATTTCAAGTGGTGGATAGTAGATGAGGTTATTCCGTCTATTCGGAAAACGGGAACGTACACATTACCAGGAGTTTTGAACAGAATAAAAGGTATCGGTGATATGGAATTGTGTAAGCTTTCCGTTGGTGATAAGGTAGAAGCAAGGGGTGAATTTGTTCACAAGGGGAATATCGTTAAGGATCCGGGAGCCGTTTCGCGTGGGAAAAAAGGTGGGCTGGCTGTCCAGAAAAATATCAGACGGACTAAGGAGATATCACGCGAAAGGGGAGCTAGGATCCTCGAACTCGAAAAAGAACGGGATGATCTTGAAGAGGAGCTGGATGTCCTCACAGACGAACGAGACGATCTCATAGAAGAACGAGATAATATTACAGAGGAGCGGAACGGCCTCGAAGAAGAATGGAACGAAGCTAGGCAGAGGGTACACGATCTCGAAGTGGAAATGGATGAAAAGGACGAGAGAGTTCGTGAACTCGAAGATGAGAACGATGAACTTCGAACCAGTGATAAGTGTTAATAATAAAAAATTTTTTTATTTCCTTAACCTAAGAAATAAAAGAGAATGTCTGATACTAAGAACACGTGATGCCGTTACAAGACATACAGAAGAATGGATGAGAACTACGCTCGGCGAAATCAAGGAAGGTGTGAAACACACCTCCCTTACAGACATACCCGGTGGTGAGCAACCCAACACAGTGGATGAGAACTACGCTCGGCGAAATCAAGGGAGGTGTGAAACACACCTCCCTTACAGACATACCACTACACTTGGTGAAATAAAAAGGTCCCCGTTTCAGGGACCTTTTTGTGAAAGATGTCCAAAATGAACACCTTCCGAAAATGTGAAAGGTGGGTGAAACGCTCACCTTCCCACAATGCATTTCGGTCGTTCCTCAACTACTTATAAGAAATCTTGTATGATAATAAAGAATGAGTATCCACATCCGAGGAAATTATGCACTGATTGGAAATAAGAGAATTTCCATCATTGAGTCTGACGATGGAACGATCTATTTTGCAGCAAAGGAATTAGCGCTTGCACTTGGATACGTCAGACCGAACAAAGCCGTCACCACCAACACGAGAGAAAGAATGAGGACAACAGTAGTCGTTATATATATACAATTAAAAAAGAAAGGGGGAGCGGGAACCAGAAAAATTTAACTGGAATTAGTATTACGCGAGAGTGCTCAAGTGGGCGTTGGCCATGGGCGTGGTGGGCTGTACGGACGGGGGGAGTTTTGGTGGTCATGTGACTTCAGGAATGTTATGTCCCGTTGTGCGCTCTGGAGGGTGTGTATTTTTGTTTTTTTGGGGGGGGAGGGTGCGCGCGCGTCGTTCTTACAAGAACGGGGGCTGGGGCGAGATGTTACTCCAAAGCCGCGGTCGACCGAACTGATTCGGATTTGAAGTTCGCGCTCTTTTATGTGCGCGTGAGGGATACCTGTTTACGCTGGCGTAAGGTTGGTCGGACCTGTGAGGAGACATAGTAAATTTTAATTTGAACGATCATTTGCTTCTAGTATAAAAACGCGAAGCAAAAGATCGTCTAAATCATTCATTTACATGAGGCGAGTATGGAATGCACATGTGTTTGTGAAGAGCATAACGACGATTGTGTGTGCAATTGCCAGTGTATTTTTTGTGAATTAATTCGTGAATTGAATGTAAAAATAGAGAAGCAAAGGCTGCGCGATAAAGCTAAAAGAATAAAAGTGTCACGATTTTGTGAGTGTTCTGAACAGGGTTGGTGTTATTGGTGC